TTTGTTTTCTTTAGGATTCTCTAATCGAATTTCTAAACTTTATGACTTAGAGTTTATTTTAGAATATAGTTTACGCTAAACAATAAAAAACCTTGAATTTGGTTTTTCTTCCACAGATAACCAGCTGGCCTGACAATTCTTGTTAATTGAGCCTTTCTGTACCCCTTCCCCAAAGACTTCTCAACATTTTGCCATGTGCTAATTTCCTATATATATTAAGATCTGTTTTCTGTTTTATGCTGTTTTGTGTTACTGATCTGGTTTGGGTTTATTCTCTCTGTCTCTCTGTCTGTCTGTCTGTCTGTCTCGCTCTCTCATGTGTGTGTCTGTGTGTGTTGCTTCTCAATTTCCACTGACCTTGTTTTTGGAGACAGGGTCTCTCACAGGCCTAGAGCTCACTGAGTAGCCTAGCCTTGCTGACTAGAAAGTCCTAGGATTCTGTTTCTGTCTCCTGAGTACTGGGGGTTTAGATGTGTACCACTGTGCCTGTTTTTTTTTTCCCTTAAAGTAACTTTTAAGTAGTGTGTTTAAGTATGTATGCATGTGGAGAACACAGAGAGCATCAGATTCCTCGGAGCTGAAGCTGCAGATGTTTATAGGATTCCTGGCTTGTTGCATTGGTTCCAGAATAAATTGTAATTAATAAAAATTAAAATAAAAACTACCCTGAGTGCACATTCTGAAAGTGTTTTAAAATGTTTTCCTTTTTGAAGTGGCCTGTTGACTCATGTGAAATTCTCATTGCCATCCGCTGCCCTGCACAGCTGCACTGCTGTTAGTAGCTGTCCAGATGGAAGGACTCTTGACATAGCTTCCCCTGGTCTGCCTGCCGCATCCAGTCCAGAGCAGGGTTATGGTACAGACATCTTCTTCAAAATGAGGCATTTTGAAAACTTGTTGTGATCTGGCCTATTTTCCAATTAGCTTTCATCTGTTCCAGACTCCATGAAATAGGAATGTGTGTGTGTGTGTGTGTGTGTGTGTGTGTGTGTGTGTGTGTAGGAGGAGGGCTTTAGTGAGGTGCAGACAGTGGTGTCACTGTGGGTGTCCTGAAGGATCTTGAAAACTTTTCCAAGATCTTATTGGTGTGGAGTGTCAAGATAAGTGTTAGAAAAAAACCTAAAAGGGTTTTCAGGTAGTCATCACCAATCACAGTGGCAAGGGCTATCTATACCTTTAAAAACATTCCAGGAGGGAAGATGTAAAAGATAAGCAGGAAAATGATCTTGTCTCACACTGAGGTTTAAATCTTGCTTATGTCTAATACCCCCAAGTTTACTGTCTGATGTACTGAAAACACTGTCATGAAGTTTCATGGTTTCTTTCTTTCTTGTTTTTAAGTGTAGAATTATTTGAAATGGGCACGAGGCTTTGTAGAGTCTGGCCAGTAGAATTGATAGCCTACAAGCCATGCAAAGACTTGAAAATTCTCAGCAAAATGTCTAAAGCAAAGATGCTGGGATTAAATTAGATTCAAAGGCAACAGATCAAGTACTGAGAAACGTGGTGGCACTTCCCTGTTCAGTTCTGTTAGACTCTGCTTAAAATTAATAGAGATTTTCTGATGCAGTTGGCAACTGATTTTAAGTTTTAAGTCCAAGTATATACATTTTCCAGATGTAATCATTTCACCCAATAGATGGAAAATGGCTGTCTCCAGGAATCAAGCTATTACGTCAACAATGTGTCTGGCTGCAGTCTGATAGTCGGTCAAGAACACGCTAGTTATTCAATTATCAAGAGATTTTTTTTTCTTTTAGAGAATTTTCTACTTAGAAAAAGTTAGTTTCAGGAATGAAGGAGAAAATGGTCATTTAAAATGGAAAGATTTACATGTGTGGAATCATATACATTAGACTCTTTTCTTTTTCCTTCCAGATATACTTATTTTTTTTTCTTTTTGCAGAGGCAACCCCAGTTTATTGAACATAAATAATAACTGCTTAGTAAAACATTAATATAAAAGTTTTAACATATAGTTAATGCGTGTAAGTGCACATATTCCATAAAACCAGCTAAGTATACAAGTATTCATATACTGTTGCTCCAGCAGCAGCAAGCGCCATCGGGTGTGAGGTAAGGAGCTGGAGCTAAGCAGCCACCAGCTTGTTAAGATGCCATGGGTGGGAACCAGCATCCTGTCCGTCTTCATCCTTTCTCCCGAGTGTGCTTTGCTCTGGGTTGTCCCCAGTGAGCTCTGTTCACAGAGCAAAGGCCTGGTAGCTTTTGGTGGGTGCTATGCTACCTCACCTTGCTGCATGGGGTTCTTTCCCCCTTCTTTTCCAAGCCACGAGAACATAGCCCTATGTATTCATGAGGAATTGTACCTGGGCCCCCCAGACAGTGTCCCTGCGCCCTGCATCACCTGGAATGTGGTGCCATAGTAGTCACTCTATCATTAGCTCATCGGCTCCTTGGACTGTGTCCTGCCCGGTAGAAACTCAGTCCATGTTTGTTGAGAGAATAACGGACAGACAATCAAATTGGCACCTTGGGATTATGACCTTAGTTCCCACACTAGGACACTACACAGTGGTTAGCTGTGGGGTAACATAGCTAACCACTATGATGAACTGGTGGTTGATAAGAACTTTGTCCATTTCTTTATTTTTGTTTTCCCTGACAGAGCCTTAGGCCAAGGACATCTTATATAGTAGCATTTTATTTTCCCCCAAAGACTTGAAGTACATTAGTCAGGATGTACAGGCTGTGCTGCTGTCCCTCTCCTACTGTTTCCATGTCTGTACTCAACAGGCTAGGCAAGATGGCTGGAGGCTTTGCTCATCTCCTTGTGAGTCTGTTTCTCAACCCAGTGCCAGATCAGGAGGAGTACAGAGTAGCGGACATGGACTTTTCATTGTTTAGACCTAGCAGTGCACCAAACACCAGTGCCCGGTCCAGTGGTGAGACCCAGGCAGAAGGCACACTCATCAGCAGCTCTTCTGTGTACCGGAAAAGAGAGGAAGGCTAAAAACTGGTGTGCAGTGATGATACTGGCTGTCATTATGTCATTATTCAATGCCTCTTATTTTATAGATGAGAAAAGTGAAGCCTAGGGCTGGGAAAAATAACTCAGCTGATAACATGATTGCTGCACAAACATGAGGACCTGAGTTCATTATGAGTGACGATTTATACTCATATACCAAACACCTGAGTAAAAAAAAAAACTAGTGTAGTGTCTATCATATGTTGGTAACCCCAATGATGGCGAAGTAGAGACAGGCAGACTCCCAGTGCCTGCTAGCCAGCCAGCATAGACAATCAATGAGAAACCCTGTCTCAGAAAACAAGGTGACAGTAACCAGAGAAGATATTGGACACTGGCTTTTGGTATCTACATGAATGCACACACATGCACACACACATACACACAGGTCCAGAAGCATATGTTACTTATTCAATGTTAGATTACACACATAAGGCAAAGCAAGGTCTGGGTTTTCAAATTCCATGATCTTAATGAGCCATGGAGCACTCCTTTTCTTAAGGAAATTAATAGCCTGACTTTAGTCAGAGTTGGTTTGGAGAAGCCAGTTTTATAGGACCAATATCTGTCACCCACTCATCAGTCCAGGTATTAGGCCACTTCTCCGGGAAGATTCTGTGATGTGATGGATCTGCCGGTGCCTTGAGAGATGTGACGTCTGTATAGACATGATGGTGTCCGTACTGACATCATTTTTCTGAACTGGCCTTGTACAGGTTTTCAAAGCTTCACCATCCACTACCTACAAGGAAGTTTCTTCTCTTGTAAAAATTAGACCCTGTAAAACGATTTTGGCTCATTCACATATTGCCCCTTGCAAAAGTCTACGGCATATAAATTGCAACAGGAACTTTAATGTCATTGGCACAAGCTCTTTATCAGGCACCAGTGTAGAACTTGATTAGCAGCCATCATCCACTTTCCTCTGCACTAGTCTTGAAACTGTATTTTACTTGAAAGATAAACTTATTTTATCTGTATGAGTGTTTTTTCCTGCATGCACATGTGTGGGCCACATTTCTGCCTGGTGCCATGGAGGTTAGAAGGCAATGAGTACCCTAGAACTGGACTTCCAGGACGTAATTAGAGCCCGTAGGCATTGGGAGAGGAACGTGGGTCCTCTGAAAGAGCAACAAGTACTCTTAACCATTTACCTGCCTCTGCAGGTCCTGGAAAATCACATTTTAAGGGTTTGTTCTTGATAGTAAGTATTCAGTAAGCTCCCTGGTACACGGGAATGTGCCACTACAAATTCAGGAACCACTTCATAGTTTGCCTTTGTTTCTAACGAGCAGTTATGGGTTGCCTGTGTTTCAGTAAAAAAGCCCTTTCCTGGAGGTGGGAAGAAAAGGGGAAAAAGTCAGTTTTGTTGTTAGCAGCCTCAGCTTTTGGTCTGCCAAAAGATGGTGAGGCTGTAGTTCTCAGTCTTTGTCTCCTGATTTAAGAATCTCTCAAACTCCACATCTGAGGTGGATTTCTTCTCCTAGGGCCTGCACAGCGGCTCTCACTCAGACCAGAACTAGGGAACTGGGGTTCTAGGGTGTTTTATACACTATACAGCCTCTATGTTGCTTCAGTTCTGATGTCTTAGGTTTAACAGCCGTTTGACCTCTTCTTTTTCCTGGCATAGGTTTCTGTGCAACAAATTAAAAGAATCAGGAAAAAAAAAATGTTTCTATGGCAAATTTGTGAATAAAAATTCCCATTTATTTAAAAAAAAAAAAAAAAAAAGGAAAGGCTATTTTCCCCAGACTGTCTTTCGGTCATGTGTCCCCCATTGTCTCAATATAGCTCCTAATAGCCAAGGGCAAGCATGCCACGCCTTGCTCCTGGTTGCCCACTTGGACATAAAGCCTGTTACTGTTGGCTGTTCTGTAGTTGGTCCTCCTGAAAATAAAATTTCATTTAAGTCGGACATTTTCAATACTAAATAGTGGGTCTCTTTAATGTTATTCTTTTAGAGAGGCTTGGAAAACATTTACATTTGCTCCCATTTATTTTTCCTTTTCAGAGTCCTAAACAGCCAGAGAGAACTCATTAGGGATTGGACTACCACGACAGCCTTCTATTGCTGAACCATAAAAAGTGGAGAGAAAAGGTGGGCATTTGTAGTATTAAAAGCTTTCATTAAATTGTAAGCTGGTGGTTTTGACTGACCTTGGAAGTTACCTAAGTCTTTTTTGTGCTTTCATGCCCCTGGTCTACAGAAGTGTGAATAGTCTGTTGGGTTTACACACTATCTTCCCAGATGCCTGGTGGGCCTCCTTTGTAATGTGATTGATAGATTCACCCTGTACCTCTTGGCTTTCAGAAGGAGCATTTCTCAGGAACATTTCTCCTCTGTCCTCCTCCTTGCACAAGCCTCCTCAAGCTCCTGAAGCTCCAATTCTTTTGTATATTGGATTTCCGTGGTCACAGCAGCTCAAGCACTCCTCCCTGATTCATTGTTCTTTCCTCGGCTGTTTCTCTTCTTTTAGTTAATGATATTCCTTACAGTGTGATAACTTTTTGTGCACTATTGAATACCATATCCAATTAGGACAATGAGCCAAGAGATTAAAAATCTTAAAGGACAGGAAATAGAAGGTGGGTCTGAGGTGTGGTTGAAGCTAGAGACAAGTTAAGAGGTATTGGTGGGGACTGACAGCTCTCCCTCCCTTCAGATGGCCTTCTGTTTTCTGCCCAGCCTTTGGGAGTCCTGATTACTGTGTTGGCAGAAGTTGGTCCAGGGGTAACCTTTCTTTTCTGAAACCTGAAGGATGAGTGCGTGCAGCCACATGGTGAGGCAGGGACAGGTCTGCACGTGGCTGGGCACATGCTAAAGCTGTGAAGCTAGGACTGAATCCTAGGGTGATGGTATTTGGTGCCCAGGAACTGATAGCTTGGGCTGGCAGCCAAGGTTTTCCTGTACCTTCTCCTCCAGCTTCCTCCCAGAAGCTGACAGAAGCCATGAGCTCCATCCACTGCCACTTCCTGTGACCCTAACTGGCTTCTGCCTCCTGTTTTAAACTGATAACCTGGGGGAAGTTGTATAAGCTTCCTCTTGGTAACCCAGCTGATATCTATAGCAAGCACCTGGTTTCTGGTGTGCTCTATACTAGTACCAATACAATGTCTCCCAGTTTGCCCATGTTGTCACAAATGACACAATGTCATCCTTTTTTATGTCGAAGTGGCTTTCTATTGTTTATACATAAACTGCATTTTTATCCATTCACTATTTGTTGCTATTTAGGATGATTTCATCTCTTAGCTGTAAATGGTGATGGAATAGCCATGAGAAAGTTGTCTTTTTTGAGGCTTGGCTCAGCTATTTGCTCAGCTTTGAGTGACTTACTTGTTACATCTATAAGATAACTCCTGCACCTAAGGTTCCAGGATCACTGTGGAAGGAGGAATGGAAAGATCATAAGAACCAGAAATTTAGGGAGTTTGCTGTGAGACTGTGTCTCCTAGTAATGTCAGAAGCTGCATCCATGAAGACTTACCAGCATGACTACCCAAATGTGAGCTGGACAAAGGCATCTATGCACATGGATGAGGGAAAGACCAAGAGGCCTCAGCCCTAGACAAAGAACTCCAGGCAACTAAGGCATGTCAAGAGCTGCAGAAATAGTCTTCTCCAGGGAAGAGGATATCAATTTGATATCCAAAACCAAATGGTGAGCCCTGAAAACATATCCATAAAGAATCCTTTAACAGGCTGAGCAAATTGTGTTTATGTATTAAGCAAGCATGCGTGCATGCATGTCTGTGTGTGTAAGAACAATTAAAGACATCAAGAGTCAGGGAGGACATGAGAGGCTTTAGAGGGAGGAAAGGGTACGGGGAAATGATGTAATTCTATTATAATCTCAAAAAATAAAGTAAATATTTAAAAATTGTACACAGTGTGTACATGAATCAAAACATCATGCTGTACGCCTTGGATATGTACTTATTATAGGTCATTGACAAAGCAATAAAGACAAATATAGAGAGAAAATTGACAGGGTTAATTTTGAGTTGACTCTTGCTCCCTGGGTATAATCCTTCAGTTGTTATCTTTTCCTTCAGATGCAAATGAGCCTTGGAAGTTAGCCCTGCCCTAACAGTGATAAGCTGATTCTGAATTGCCCATCCTCTTATTTATTTTACTTTTTAAAACCAAGATTCAGCTTTACCATCAGATCAGCCCTGAAGGGAGGCTCCTGCCTAGATGAGCTGCATTAGACTAAATGGGTGTGGATAATATTAACAACTTCTGTAGGCTAATTTTTCCTTCTTTGCATGCAATCACATAAACTGTTATGCTAACATAAAGTTTTAAATGCTTTTATTTTAAGTATCAGCCTGTGGGGGAATAATCAAGACCCAACAGAAGGGAAAATGAGGCTTATGACATTATCATGCAAAAAAAGAAACATTATCATAAACTAGAAAGAAAAGTCATAAAATAAAAGTCCTATCAACTACATATGGTAAATAAAAAAGAACAATTGCTCCTATTAGGAAAATACTAAAATTGCTAACTCTAAATGGATAGAAGGAAGACTTCTTGTGTGGAAAAGGGTATGGTTTCTCTGTTGACCTGAAAAAGGAGTCGTTATGGAAGAGCATTCCCCTGAACGCTATGAGAGCAGACAGCATGAGCTGTCGTTGCTTGACCTAACAAATGACACACTGGCAATATTGTTTCCAGGATTCTGATTAGCTGATGACAGCAAAACCAGAAATTATTTCATAAGCAAGGCTGAACCACAGAAAACCCTGAAAAGAGAGACTGTGGTTACATATATTCAATAGTGAATTCTAGAAGAGTTCTGCCAAGGTCTCAATGTGAGGGTTCCTCCTTTAGCTGTGTGCATGGACACAAGGAAACTTCAGATGCTGTGGATGAGGCTTTTGGGGAAACAAAAGCAAGTGTATAAAACCTGTAAACTGTGGAGCTGGGGGCTGGTTGAGTAGGTAGAATTTTTGCTGCATAAACATGTAGAGCCAAAAGCAATTTGAAGAACCCAGGGAAAAGCTATGTGGACAGCAGGTACCTATAATCAAAGCGCTAGGGAGTCAGAGACAGCCCTGGGCTGGCTGAGTGAGTAGCTACCTGAATTGGTAGGCTCCTGGCCAACGAGAGATTATAGCTCAAAAAAAAAAAAAAAAAAAAAAAAGAAAAGAAAAAAAGGGATTGAGGAAGACATTCAGTGTTGACCTTTAGCCTTCTTGTGCACATGTACAAACATGCATGTACACATACACACATGCATATATACACACACACACCTATTATGTCATATGGGACCTGTCAATACTCTCCAGACATTGAGAAACATAGGACTTAAAAAGGAACAAAGAAGTAAAAAAAAAAAAAAAAAAAAAAAAAATTGAAAAGAACTTAAAAAGCCCTTCTCTTTGAAGTAACCCCCAAATATCAAGAGGGTAGAGATAGTTTCAGAGATTCTTGAAGTTGTACAGGTAGGATCTTTGTCTACTTGGTGGTGACACCAGAGATCAAAGCAACCTGGATCCATTTTACCTCCCACCCCCACTGGAGACTCCAGCAGGCAAATTGCACATTGTGGAGCATGTCAGATCAGCTCTCCTCAGAAGCGCTGATTTCCCTAGGGCAGCAGGCAAGTAGAGCTCACTATCAGAGCTGGCAGCAGTAGTAACATCTGGAGATATTAGAGGTAAAAATAGGCGTCAGGGAAGCTGGGCAGAGAAGCATTCTGGGGGCACCCTGACCTTGACTCCAGCAGGCTATGGCCTTTCACAGACATTAATGACCTTGGGTTCAGGTAAGTACTTAGCCACAGTCACTGGGCTTTCCCAGCATGATGGACTCTGGAGAGGACAGGAGAATTCTTCTTTTCTCTCCTCTCCTGTTCCCAATTGTCAGTCAGCCAGCCACAGGAGAATTGGCCATGAAACGCAAAGTAAACTGATTTTATTTATTATTGAATGCAAAAGAGCGTAGCCACTTTTGCATTACTCAAATGCAATCATGTAAACATTTGTGGAACTTGAAACATTTAGTTTCCAGAGTGTAAAGTCCTTATGTAAATGATGACTGATAGCCCTGTCATTAAATTGCATATGTAAATTTACTCATTTACATATTATGGTTGTCCTAGTCAGTCAAACAAAATACTGTATACATCGTGTGACTTAAACAATGAGCATTCATTTCTTTATAGCTCTGAAGTCTCTAGATCAATGGCTCTCAACCTGTGCATCATGATTCCTTTGGCAAACCTTCACCTCCAAAATATATTTACATCATGATTCATCACAGTAGCAAAACTACAGTTATGAAGTAGCAATAAAAATAATCTTATGGGGGCCTGGAGAGATGGCTCAGAGGTTAAGAACATTGGCTGTTTTTCCTAAAGGTCCTGAGTTCAATTCCCAGCAAACACATGTGTGCTCCTAAGCATCTGTAGTGAGATCTGGTGTGCAGGTACATACACGGGCAGAATGCTGTATAAATGATAAATAAATAAATATTTAAAAAATAATCTTATGATTTGGGGTCATGATAACATGAGGAACTGTATTAAAGGGTCATAGCATTATGAAGGTTGGAAACCACTGCTCTAGATCCAGTGTGGAGTGATTGAAGTCTCCCTTCAGGACCACACACAGAGGTTTAATTCTTTGTAGTCCCACATGGCTGGTACAAAGAAAAATACTCTGTGGTGTCCCTCTTCACAAAGGCTCTGATCCCTTCCTGGGCATTCCACCCTTATGACCTCATTTAAGCTTCCTGCCTCCCTGAGATCCCGGTTCTATCTCACTGGGAGTCAAGGCTTCGAGTGTTATCTTGGGGAGATGGACTGATTCACTCTGTAGCAACGAATGTCAACTCAAAGCGGTTTAATACACATAAATAACAATGTAGTTTTAGGAATAATAAGCAACTATTACATAAAGCATCAAAGGTATATTTTAATTTAAAGTGAAATAATGAATCTCCTGGGTTGCTTTTATAGTCATAAAAATAAAATAAAAATAAAGCACTTCTATTTCCTGAAGCGGCGGGCTCCCACAGGTCATGTTCCTATGTCTATTGGGCTTCAGGAAGTGTCCTTGGACGCTCTGCTTCTGCCTGGGGAAGCA